AGATGTGCCAAAAAGAAGAAGTGTTAAATTAAATATTCGAGATATATAATTAAAAATTAAAAATTAAAAATAAGAATATTTTAAAATTTTATTTTTTAAAAAAATAAAGAGATGTAGTCGTAAAAAAAGGTCATGCATGAAGTGCAATCTCATAATATTGCCATTACATCTTTTCAGGCCCATTATCGTGAGCCAAGCCTCTCATGTGAGATAGTATCACGGTTCTGTTCCATATTTAGTTGTATAGATACTTTTCCTCCTTATATATAATCCAACCCATATTTAATAAAGTATATGGATGTAATATATATATATATATCGGATTTGAGATGAAATTTTTATCACGGATTTGAGGTACAATTTTTTTTTATCATCATGTATCATAAATTTCTTAGCTTTGATAATAATTTTTTTAAAAAATCTCATAAAAACTTATTTTTAATCGATGGATGGTGTAAAATATTGTACACTGATGGTACATATTCATTAAATTCTTTTAGATAAAATTTTGATTTAAAAATATTAAACTTTATTAGTTCGATTATATTAATGGGTTTGTAATTCTTTAACCTGACATATAAACTTGATAATACATAGACACTAAACTATTTTAAAATATAGTGTCTATGTCTTATGTTTTAGCTAGCGGATCAAATTAAGTACGGATTTTGCCAACATTGTAATGAAAATTCACAAAATAAAAGAAACTGTGGTAAAACAAAGGGTACAAGCACTTTTATTGCCTCAAGATACAAATTATCCGGACTATACATTTATTGCAATCAAAACTAATAAAAATATATTACCAAAGTATTGATTGAAAATTGAAAAATATAAGAAAAGTTAACCCTCAATTGATATTCTACATGAAGCATACCATTTAATGGATTCTCTTCACTTAGTAAAACAAATTACAACTGTATTAGTATCCAACTCAATACAAAATTCAACAAAGTTTCATCAAAATAGCCATCCAGAGTGCGACTTATTCTGATTTATAAATAATAGTATTTTTGTCTATCTCCTCAAGGTATGCAGAATATATTCTGCATAAAGATCCCTGCAACAAATCAAAGACAATATATAACAATGAGATGAAATTATGCAGATTGCAGGTAGTGAAATATTTTTGTTAAATAAGTGACATGAATGACCACATAAAGAATTAAATAAGCATGGTAGAGAGATAATGATCTACTAGATAGAGAATTTTTGTTATTGGAATATTAATGAAATAATAGTTAAACTAGGTGCTCTATGGGTACTGACATTGAGTGTTGGATGGCTTCAAGTGCAGTGGATGCAGGTAAAAACTCATTAACTGCTACCTCCTTGTTCTCATTCTTCTTATCTGATCAACATGTTAAGATATGCACACATTTTTATAAGAACATTTAAATTGAGCTTAAACAAAATCAAGTTCTTGGAATAAGATTGCTAAGGATACAGTCTTCAAAGAAGCGTCGAATCTCAGTGAGGCGATGAGGTGGAAGTTCTTTGAAGTCAGTGTAGTGCTTATATTCTGGATCATCAGCACATACTGCAATAATTTTATCATCTTTCTCCCCCTATTTCAATAGAACAAACTTTTTATTGTCTAAACAGTTAGAACAAAATGGAAATTGTTTTATCAACTAAAAGTCTAATAAATATACCTGGTCAATCATAGGCATCAATCCAATGGCTCTAGCTCTCAGGAAACAACCAGGAACAACTGGCTCCTATACCATATCAGTGAATCAGTAAGTTTACTAATGAATATAACCTTATTGGTATATAGCTCAAACATTCTCATCAAATTAAATACTATCTGAACACATAATGTGGCTAATGTAACACTTGAGTTTATTTCGTACCATCTTTTGAAATAGAGTTTAATGCTGGTATCCCGACCTAACAATCAATCAGATATCACTATTTAAAATTACTTTACATTGTTAGTGCTTCACTTGTTTTCTCTTTGAATTAAGGTGGATAGTGGAAAATTTTGATAATTAAGTGGTGATTAACTAAGGATCAAAGTTGATGTATGATACCTACAATATGATCCTAATATATCACCAACATTCAATGTCAACTTTTAGTTTACTGTTGATAAAGAGAGAACCATGACACGTTTTAGTTTTACTATATATTAATGCCTTTTGTATAATTTGGATGAGTTTAAAATGGTAAGAACATACCTGCATGATAACCAAGACATCAAGTGGATCATTGTCTTCACATAGACTTCGAGGGATGAAACCATAGTTATGGGGATAAACAACTGATGAATACAAAATCCGATCAACCTAACCATTATTTAGGAGGTAAGAAGAATCTAATATTAGACGAGTAATGGAATGCAAAAGTTAGAATTGAGAAATAAAGAGATAATTCGTACATTCATGTTTTTCTAATTAACCATCGACACATTTTGTTGCTTTCAGGTTGATTGCCAAATATGAAATAAGAGATTTCTCTATAAAATCGTTTCAGATTATAGCACTTTCAAAACAAACAGGCAATTGGTTCATACCTTAATTAATCCAGTTTTTTTGTCAAGTTCATATTTGACCTTGCTTCCCTTAGTGATCTCCACAACCTGCAAATAGCAACTAAGAAAGTAGCAACCACTGAACAAGCATACAACATGCTATAGTGGAAAATTTTTGGTCAAGAATGTAGATACAATTTTACATGAATTTTGTTATTAGGAAAAGATAAGCCAATGGAGATTTCAAAATGTTACAAGATAGAAATAGAAAAATCTTTTAAGAAAGAGTCACAAGATTATGCCACTTATGAAGTTCAGGAAACTGTTCTTTAGAATCCAAAAGGTGAAGTGCAGGCAAGGTTGCTTGCTCTCTATAGGAACTAATTTTATAAGTAATATGTGATTCACATGCTTCTTGCATGGCTGATTTGGGTTGTGTTTGTTGTTAGGAAATTACATCCCAAAAGATGATAAGGTGGCTTGTCATACATTATGGAGTGTTTGGACTCTCATAATTCATGACTACTCTGCTTTCTGTGTAAAAACGTTGGTTTGTAGTTGATCTTCACACCTGCTTTTCCTAAAGCCAATAAAAGTTGCACCCACGGTGCAACCACAATAAAATAGTCCATTGCATCGTTTACCCCCTATAGTTTTTCTTAACTAAAAAGAAAATAAATAATGGCATTATTTAGAAAATGAAGCAACCAGTAATTTTCCAGAATCAAAACTTACACAATTGAAAATATTAGGCGCATCAGGTCCTGCACATGAAACCTAAGAACATTAACCATTTTTTTTTTGTTGGGTAAGAACAAACTAATCCTTGTTTTGGCCTAGCCACAAGGTGATTTAGCAACATGATCTAAGTGATCGTATGTTAAATTGAATGTCAATGAAGTAACCTAATCAACACGAGTACCAATTTCAAGATCATGCCAAGGGTGAGCAGCAACTGATCTCCTAGACAAAGATGAAAGAATTCTTTCATTTAAGCGGGGAGTTGGACGATTTGATTGAACTTCTTCACCATTCTCATTCTCAGCCATCTTCAATCACAGGACAAGGCTAAGACAAACCAAATGTTTTTATAAGTCATGGTCCATCAGAACACGATCATGAACATTGCTAATATTTCACTTAAATTTGTGCCATTTCATGATATGTTAAAACTTAAAAGTTTACCAAACATATTAATAAGTGGTAATAAGGTCATAGAGACAAATTATTTGCACATATGAATCCACCCCCAAAAGCCAATGACATGAAACTTATAAAGGATGATAGATAGCATGATGCATGAAAACAATGTCAAACATGACATTAACAAAAGAAAAAGGATATAAGGCTTGGAACAAAGGAAATAACAAACCTTGAACAATAGCAAAAACAAATATTCTGAGAAGAAGGTAAAGGGTTGAAGAGAGAGATCTGACGAAGAAGATTGTTTATTATGTATATATAGTAGTCAAGGGAAGAACAAGGTCAAACAATTCTTTACCTCACCTCGTGTTTGTACAGGAGACAAGTAAGCTTACCATTCCACCTGTTCTGTGGAACGTTCAAAAGGCAATTTCTAGCCAATAAAAAAACAAAATCAAAGTTATAAAATCTTGGGAAATAATGGTTTCTTTTTTATTAGTTTATTTATTAATTTTTAAGTAATTAAAAATATTTAATAAGGTTTATTTAATGTTTCTTAATTGATATAATTATAAGTTTATTTTAATCAACACCATTTAAGTTGGAATGATAATGAATAGATTCTCGATCATATTTGGACAGTATCCACGTTTAATGAAATGAAACATTTTCATGTGTATTTTTTAACAAATTAATATAATAAAAACATTATCTTAAATTTAATTAATAAAATATAATTTTAATTAATATTATTATATCTAATCCATTAAAAACTCTAAAAATATTTCAAATTTCAGTTATAAAATAGTAAAATGTATTTTATTATATTTTTATAGATGTAAGTTAGATATTATAATATCCATATATATCTATACCGATATTATAATTTTCAACAAACAAAATATTTAACTACCTAATCTAGCAAATAGAATATTTTACTTATCTTAACACCCCCCTCAAGTTGGTGCATGGATATCACATATTAACTCGAATAAAGACTCATTAAACACCATGTTTGTCACTCCTTTGGTGAGAACATTAACTAACTGCAATTCAAATCTTACAAAAGGAAAGGAAATTATTCCAGCTTAAAGCTTCTCTTTGATGAAATGTCTATCAATCTCTACATGCTTTGTTCTATCATGTTAGACAGGATTATAAGCTATTATTATTGTTGATGTATTGTCACAATACAAACTCATAGCTTGTTTTGGTTTAAAACTTAAATCCAGCAGAACATTTCATACCCACAAAAGTTCACATACCCCAAGTGCCATGCCTCTAAATCTACTTTAACACTAGATCTAGCTACTATCAACTATTTTTTACTCCAACAAGTTACAAGGTTCCCCTATAAACGTAAAATATCCAAAGGTAGACCTTCTATCATTTCTTGAACCCACCTAATTAGCGTTAGTGTACCCTTCTACCTTTAAGTTTCCATGATTTGAGAATAAAATTCGTTTTTCGGAAGAAGACTTTAAATAACTCAAAATCCTCTCAATAGCATTCATATAGGCATGGCAATCTAACCCGCCCCTGCGGGTACCCGTCCGAACCCGTTTGGACGGGAAACACCCATGTTTATCGGGTTCGGGTTCGGGTTCAGGTTCAGGTTTTCCCTGATTGATAAAATCGGGGGCAGGGGCTGGGACGGGAATGTTAATACCCACCCCGCCCCCGCCCCCGCCCCCGCCCCGCTTAATAATATAATTAAAAAATTATTTATATATATATATAAACCAAAATTAGAAATATTTATATGTAACAATTTATATTATTATACTTTTATTTTATTTTTAAAAAATTGTTCATATTTATTTAAAAGAAAAAA